ACTACAGATATTGCTGTCGATCTCACTATCGATCTCACGGTCTCACACTCGATCCCACTATCGATTCCACTCAATCGATCTCACACTCGATCTCGCTATCAATCTCACTCAATCGATCGCACTCTCGCTCTGGCTATCGATCTTATTCGATCGATTTCATGATCGATCTCGTTCGATCGACCTCACCACGGGGCACCACGGGACACCGACGGGACACCGACGGGACACGGACGGCGGGCCACGGACGGCGTACCGACGGGACACCGACGGGACACCGATGGGGGCTCCTGCGGGACACCGACGGGATACTAACGGGACATTTGCAGGACGCCGACAGGACACCGACGGGACACCGATGGAACACCATCGGGACATCATCTGGCCCCGTAGGGATCGGACAGGGAGCACCAGTGGAAGCGCGGTTCGCTGATGCGCATATGCTTCATTGAGAGCTCACGTCCATGGGCTCGTGTGAGCGGGCCCCCTATGATTTGGGAGGTTGCAAGCATGAGGGGCGAGTAGGATTGCTTGGTTGCTGGTTGCTGGGGGGGGGCGACCACTCGGGTTCTAGGCCAACCGTCGTCCCCTAAGGCGACGGAGGGGCCCAAGCACCTGTACACCTGGGTCGTATGTGGAATTTCGTCCTTGATACTGGTGCTGGTGCCGGTGGTGCTGGTGCTGGTGCTGATGGTGCTGTTGCTGGTGCTGGTGCTGCCGCTGTTGCTCCCTCCCCTGCTCTCCTGTCTCCCTCCTCTCGCCCTGCTGCTGGTGCTAGTGCTGATGTTGCTGGTGCTGCTACCTAGCAGCAGTACCCGCAGCAGCAACACCAGTTGCACCAGCACCACTGGCAGCACCATCATCAGCGGCTGCAGCAACAGCGACAGCAGCAGCCCTGCTGTCTCCCGGTGCTGGTGCTGGTGCTGCTACTGCTGCTGCTGCTGCCCCACTCCTCCTCCTCCCCCCCGTCTCCCCCCTTTGTCCTCTCTTCCCTCTTCCTCCCTACTACTGTCAATGCGAATCTTCCAGAACCACCATCGCCAGCATCAGCACGAGCAACAATACCAGCACCAGGATCGGTCGAATTGAACGAAACATGTCCTACACTGACCCTACAATGCGCAACAGATGGGGGTGTGTATGCATGTATGTATGTAGACATGTCTGTCTGTCTGTCTGTCTGTCTGTCTGTCTGTCTGTCTGTCTGTCTGTCTGTCCGTCATGCAATGTCCATACATTTTTTTATGCATGTATGTATGCATGCATGCATGTATGCATGTGTGGCTGTATACATATAGATGTATGTATACATGCGTTGATGCATACATGCATGTATGCATGCATATATATATATATACACACATATATATATCTATATACATGGACATATGAATTGTACGTTTGTTTGTTTGTATGCTTGTTTGTTTAGTTGTTGGTTTGCATGCATGTATGTACACATATATGCATGCATGTATGTATGCATGTACATATGTATATATGCATGCATTTATGTATGTATGCATGTATGTATGCATGTATGTATGTATGTATATATGTATGTATGTATGTATGTACGTACGTATGTATGTACATATGCATGTATGTATGTATGCATGTATGTATGTATGCATGCATGCATGCATGTATGTATGTATGTATGTATGTATGTGCTTGCCCCCCCCCACATGATCATACATATTATCCCCTCCCTCATCTGCTCCCTGCTCTCCGTCGCACTTCCTCATCCTCTTATCCTCCTTCAGCGGGGTGCGTTGGGGCCTGTCCCGTCAGCTGATCCTCTCCTTGGGCGGCAAGGACAAAACGATCGAGTGGTCGACGTAATATTTTCTCTCGCTTGCAAGCTTGCTTTCAGTCACTGCCTAGATGAGCGTGCCATCCATCCATCAGCGGGACAGTGCAACCTCGGGCTGAGGGCGGCGGCGGGGCACTGCAACCTCGGGCTGAGGGCGGCACACTTTTTAGTATTCTCTCGCGCTGGATCCCCGTCCCTCTGTACCCTCAGGAGGGGAATGATGATGAGGAGGAGAGGGATCAGGAGAGTGAAGAACTCGATAATATGAGCGAGGAGGAAGAGGAGCTAGATGAGACGAGTGCGATCCCGACGATGATGACGAGGATGATGATGACGATGATGATGATGACGATGATGATGCTGCTGCTGATGACGATGACGATGACGATGATGATGAGCAGGACTGCAGAGGTTGAGGAACTGAACACGCTGAGAAAAGGATCCTTTTGCACAGGCTCCCAATAGGAACCCATTGTGCACAGGCTCTCAACAGGAATCCTTTTGCACAGGCTCAATAGGAAGCCATTTGTATTGCGTTTCGGTAATATTCTTTTTGTATTAGCTTTCAATAGGATTTTTTTTGCAGAGGCTCTCACTAAGAATCCTTGTGTAGAGGCTTTCAATAGGAATCGTTGTGAAGAGGCTCTCAATAGGAATCCTTTTGTAGAGGCTCTCAATGAGAATCCTCTTGTGGAGGCTCTCAACAGGACCCATATTGCACCGGCTCTCAATAGTAATGCAGTAGTCTTGTGTTTCAGTCGGGATCATTTTTGTATTGGCTCTCACTCGGAATTCTTTTTTGTAGAGACTCTCAATAGGAATCCTTTTGTAGAGGCTCTCAATAGGAATCTTTTTGTAGAGGCTCATACTAGTAATCATTTTGTAGAGGCTCTCACTAGGATTCCTTTTGTGGAGGCTCTCAGTAGGAATCCTTCTGTAGAGGCTCTCAATGAGATTTTTTTCCGTTGAGGCTGTCAACATGACTGGTTGTGCACAGGCTTTCAATAGGAAGCCATTGGTATTGCGTTTCAATAGTAATCCTTTTGTATGGGCTTTCAATAGGAATCGTTTTTGTAAGAGGCTCTCATTCGGAATCCTTGTTCAGAGGCTTTCAACAGGAATCATTTTGTAGAGACTCTCAACGGGAATCTTGTCGTGGAGGGTCTGAACAGGAATACTTTTGCACAGGTTTTCAACAGGAAACCATGTGTATTGACTTCCAGTAGTATTCATTTTGTATTGGCTCTCAATAGGAATCCTTTTTGTAGAGGCTCTCAATAGGAATCTTTTTTTGTAAAGGCTTTCAAAAGGAATCTTTTTCGTAGAGGCTCTGAATAGGAATCCTTTTTGTAGAGGCTCTCAATGGCATTTTTGCGTGGAGGCTCTCAACAGGAATCCTTAGCACAGGCTCTCAATAGGAATACATGTGTATTGGGTTTCAGTGGGGATCCTTTTGTAAAGGCTTTCAATTGGATCTTTTCGTCGAGGCTCTCAACAGGAAGCCTTCTGCACAGGCTCCCAAGAGACATCCATTTGTATTGGGTTTCAATTAAGCATCCTTTTGTAGAGGCTTTCAACAGGAATTCTTTTTTTATAGAGGCTCCCAATAGGAATCAGGTCGTAGAGGCTCTCAATAGGAAGCCATGTGTACTGCGTTACAATAGTAATGATTTTGTGTCGGCTTTCAATAGGGATCCTTTTGGTAGAGGCTCTCAATCGGAATCCTTGTGTAAAGGCTTTCAATAGGAATATTGTTGTAAAGGCTTTCGTTCGGAATCCTTTTCGTAGAGGCTCTGAATCAGAAACATTTTGTCGAGGCTTTCAGCAGAAATCCTTTTGCACAGGCTTTCAATAGGAATCCATATGCATTGGGTTTCAATAGGAGTCGTTTTGTATTTGCTTTGAGTCGGATTTCTTTTTGTTGAGGCTCTCAATAGGAATCATGCTGTAGAGGCTTTCAATAGGAATCGTTTTGTGGAGGCTCTCAATTGGAATCCTTTTGCAGAGGCTCTCACTAGGAATCCTTTTGCAGAGGCTCTCACTAGGAATCCTTCTGTAGAGTCTCTCAATAGGAATCCTTTTGTGGGGGCTCTCGCTAGGAATCCTTTTGTAGAGGCTCTCACTCGTAATCCTTTTGTAGAGGCTGTCAATAGGAATCATGCTGTAGAGGCCAGCGCGACATGAAACAACAAAAACCACCACAAGGACACACAAACCAAACCAAAGACACCAACACCTTAAGACTAGAAAACGAAAAAGCCGTCTTGCAAGCCGTCTTGCCCGCTAAACGGTCGATGCCGACCACCCACCCGAAGGGCTTGCGCGATGAGACAGAACGCCGTTCAGAAAGTACAGCAAAACAGTAACTGCGACAGGGGGAGGACGAGGAGGAGGAGGAGGAGGGGGAGGAGGGGGAGGAGGGGGAGGAGGGAGAGGAGGGGGAGGAGGAGGGGGAGGGGGAGGAGGAGGGGGGGGAGGGCGAGGGGGGGGAGGGGGGGGAGGCGGAGTGGGGAGGAGGAGTCAGCGAAAACGCTTGATATAATCAAAACAACCAAAAAACCCAAACATACTATGCTTTCGGGAGAACTTCTGGGGAGGGGGGGGGGGAAGGTTCCCCCGTTTTTTTTTGTTTTTTTTTTGTTTTGTTTTTTTTGTTTTTCCAAGGGGGTTCGCTGTTTTTTCGCAATGCCGATCATTTCTCGCATGTCTTCGACGGCGTTCGATGAGGAGGGGGAGGAGGAGGATGAGGATGAGGATGAGGAGGAGGCGGAGGAGGAGGAGGAGGAGGAGGAGGAGGAGGAGGAGCGACGACGAGCAAGAAGAAACATAACAAGAACATGTATGATCATGTGGGGGGGGGGGGGCGACCATATATATATATATGTATATATATATATATATATGTATGTTTGTACGTATACATGTGTATATGTATGTATGTATGTATGTGTGCATATGTGTATACATGTTCAGGCAGCGGTGAACGCCGATGACGGGCGCTCATATGCAACAATACACACGCGTGTGTGTCATATTGTTTTGTCGAGCGTGCTGCAACCCTCACCTGGATCTCGTTCCTTTTATCTCACTTTTCCTTCATCCTTTCTTGCTTTTGCCCCTCCCCTTCATCATCCCTTCTCGACTGCCTTCCCTTTCTTCTACACGTGGGTGGCTGCGAACAGCGCCCAACCGACTACATTCGAAATCATTTGTGGCGCAAGAGTTGTGCTCGAACTCGAAAAGATCATACATCTCTGAAACATTCCTTTATTCATAAGGCTCACCCACAGCATGCCGTTGGTCAAGCTTGCTGCCAAGGTCCATCTGCTCGTGTTGCCGCTGCTACCCGCTGCTGCGATCAGTGTGGTCAGGGAAGCATCTGGAGGAACATCGGTAGGACATGCGGAGGGGCAGTCCAAGCTGGGTTCGACGATCACTTTCTCTGAGAAGGATGCGGCCAACTTTGGAACCGCCCTGGGTGTTATGAATAAGGCGGGCGTTACCCGATATCAGGACCACATGGTCAAACAGGTCAAGAGAAGCGATGGCAAGTTCTTCTGGGCCGACTCCGCCAATCGCGACGAAAATGCTTATGTTGGTGCGAAGGACTTGACCGAAAGCGTGTCGTGGGGTTGGCACCATCCAGCTGGAGTCTACAGCACCATCCCGGTCGGCAGCCCCCTGTTCGACGACGAGATGAACATCTACGTCGGTGCCGACGATGCCATCCGGAAGTTCGATGCCAACGGCGTCATCAAGTGGGCCTACGCCCCCCGAGGTCAGCTCGCGGCGGCACCCTCTCTGTGCAACGCCAGCGCCAGGCGCCTGGTGGCCCCAGTACTGGACGAGGAAGCGCTGGTGCGGCCGGACTGGGACCACGGCAGCCAGTCCTCCCAGGGCTTCCAGGTCGGCGACCTCGTCAAGGTCAAGGTGGGCGCGAGCTTTTGGGCGGACGGCAAGGAGCTCTTCAGGGCCGGCGACGAGGGGATGATCACTGGCGACGAGAACGGCAAGGTCGTGATCCAGTGGACGCGCACAAAGAAGAAGAGCGTGGTGCAGCTCCACTCCATGCAGGAGCGCTTCACGCGCGTGGAGCAGAAGAAGGTGGACGTCACGTTATCAAGCATGCTGATAGGGAGTACCACCTCAGGCTACGTTTTCGCGATCGACCTCGCAAGCGGAGATGAATTGTGGGCAACCTGGGTCTCGAACGAGATCTCTGGCGTCAAGGGGTCTGTGGGTTGTAAGGGCGGAATCGTAGTGGTCGCAGCCGAGCGCTGCACTGATCGGTACTGCTACAGGTACCGCAACCAGACGAATCCACTCACGCCTGGTAATGCAGTTGTGCATGGCCTGAGCGCCGTAGATGGCAGCTCCGTCTGGACGTACAAGACCTTTCAGCCTATGTGGAACATGGTCCCACTGTGGGGTCCAGGCACCAGTGTGATGTTCCAGGATTGGGAAGGCAGGATATACAGCCTGGACTATCTGACTGGAGCCCAAATATTCAAGGTCGGCGGCGACATCGGGACGCACACCAATGCTAACGCCGTATACGACCCAGGCCATAACGTCGTCGTGGCCCTCGGCGTGAAGCACTACGAGAATGGCCGTTGCAATCCTTATCCAGCACCCGGGATCCTTCCTTCATGCTGGACGTGGCCGGGCACACCAGGCTTCATCCGCGGCTACAACGCCACGTCCGGCAGGGTCCTCTGGGAGAGGGATACTCCGGAGCCACCGGCCAGCGGGTCCGTCGGCAAGCTCAACAGCCCTTCGATGCACACCCGATTGATTGTCACCTTGGGCCATAACTGCTACCTCGGTTCTCGCCGTGAACAAAATGGGTCCTAGAGTGAAGCCCCTCTACAGGAGGAAAGTTAAAACATAGTCAAGAAATAGTCCAGGGACGATTTTGTTCTTAGCATCTTTTGGCCATTGTGGGGTATTTTTGTGTTTTTAGAAACTATGTTTCGTCCGAAAGCCCCCTGCAAGAGGACATGCCCGACCTAAACCTAGAGGAAACGGGTCCTGGATTTTTTTTCCGGAGGTGGACAGACCTCCTACCCTGACACGTCGATTAGCGAATTGGCCGTTTTCGGTTCGCGAGAGGGCGTGGCGGCCGTCATTTTTGTGGGTCCAGGTCCGTCGATTTCGGCCCTAAGTCGTTTTCACTAAGGGGAGGTTTACTAAAGGGAGGTTTGTCCACAGCTGATTTTATCGTTATAGGAGACTGCGTTTTTTTCGGGCTCCGTGGCCCTCGCGGGGCACCAGGCCGTCAACAGCGCTCCAGGATGAAGAGCTGGTCCAGGCCCCCCCGGGGGTCTAGGACTAAGTCGGGCCTGTCCCTCTACAGGAGGGAAATTCAAAGGTAGTCCAAACATAGTCTGGGGACGATTGTTTGACTATTTTTTAGCATTGTGGAACATTTTTTTATTTTTTTTTGTCGCCCAAAATCCCCCTGTAGGGGGGCAGGCCCGACCTAAGTCCAGGACCTGCTTTCGCCAAGATTCCTCGAAGGAGGTTGGTAGACTTCCTACCCCGACACGTCGAGTAGCGAATTGGCTGTTTTCGCTTCGCGAGAGGGCGTCGCGGCCGTCGTTTTTGCGGGTCCAGGTCCGTCGGTTTCGGTCTTAGGCCGTTTTCGCTACATGGAGGTTTCCTAAAGGGAGGTTTGTCCACCGCCGAAGCTGGTCCAGGCCCCCCGGGGGTCCAGGACCTGCTTTCGTCAGGATTCCTTCCCTTTCTGCCAAGGCTCCCCCTCCAAGCTGTGGGCGCTCGACCCGAACACTGGCGACCTTCGCTGGTCGAAGGAGGGCCCGACGCTGTGGACGGGGTTCTGTGCTGGCGACAAGGCCCTCCGCATCTCTTTCATCCTCTTCCTCATTTCCCTCCTCTGTTTCCTTCCTCCCCTTCCTCCTCCTACTCCTCCGTTTTTTTCCTCCTCTTCTCTCCTCCTTCACCTCCCTCGCCTCCTCAGGAGGGTGCCGACATCCGCCGTGCCATGGGCGGCAGGGAGAAGTGCTCGCCGAACAGCTGGTCCATTCCAGTGATTGATGCGGCGGGGGACCTATATATCGGCAACCATGTCGGCGCGCTGTACAAGTACGGCCAGTCGAACGGCAACCAAGTCCAGCTGCTTTCGACCCTGAACACCGGCGTGGCGACCCAGGACGCGGCCATCGCGATCGGCGACGGCGTTATGGCTGTGACCACATGCACCTCACTCATTGTCTTCCAGACCTATTCAGCGTGGTTCTCAAACGCGACCTGGTCAGTTTCCCACAGCGACTACTCACCGATTCAGAATATGGTCCATGGCGAAGACATTTCGCACACCATCTCAGAAGAAGTTCACGATGATCCTACACTTACGCCGAAAGTTGACTCGGACGATATCTGGTCGAACGATGAGCCCGTCTACGACCCGAATATTGACGGACATACCTACAACCGCCGGCAGGCTAAAGCACATACCGTCAGCAAGTAAATCGGGCCGCATTTGGGGCTCCTTCATTTTGAACTGGCCATGCATGAATTGTGTGCCTCTGTCCTTCTCGGACGCTCGTTGTCATTTCTTCGTCTCCAGTCTTCGCTGCTGCGCTGAACGTGCGAAGGCTTCTTTCTAGCTGTTTGGCCGAAACTGTCGCACAGCCGGTTCAATCGTGAAGGATCGTCGGGCGAGAGACCCCAACCAATGCCGATCAGACATTGAGCAGGGCTGTGATAATCTAATCACAGGCAGGCCTCTGCGCCGGCCACGTTCCTGCTGCTGACTACTACTTTCGTCTCAGCGCTGGCCACTCCCTGAGATGTCTCGCAGTTGGCTGCACCTGGCTTTTTCTGCTCTTCCCCAGTGGCTCTCGACCTAGCGCTGGCCACACTCGCATTTCGGGCTGCTGGTCTTGCCTCACAGCCGCCCTTACTCCTAGCCTGGAGAGGTGCTCTCGCCTCACCCGTGGATGCTTCCTGCAAGGGGTGGCTCGGTGGGCTGTAACCGTGCCCGTTTCTCTGCCCCTCGGTGGCTCTCGGCTGCGCGCTGGCCGTACTCCCTACCGGAGAACGAAGGCTTCGCATCAGCGCCAGCCGCAGTCCTGGCTCGGAAGCGTGCCCTCCGAATGGTGGCTGCATTTGGCATTTGGGCTCGATCTTCTGTCCCCGGCGGTAATCGCTTTAGCGCTAATTCCACCCGCGATACGATATGGAGGTCTGGTGCTTTTGTCTTCTACTCCTGGCTAGCCCCTGAGTGGTCGCGCCGTGAGCTGCATCAACACCGATGCCCCTGTTCCCTGGTGGCTCTCGCTTCAGTGCTGGCAACTCCCGTAGCGCTCGCGCGAAAGGCTGTATCTGGACTCCTTCCCCCGTTCCCAGGTGGCTCTCGCCTTCAAGCGATAGCAGTACTCCCTGCCTGGGATGGCCCTCTCGCCTCAACGCTGTCCTTGCAGCTCAGAGACAGCGGCAGAGACAGGGATGGGGACGGAGACAGGTATAGACGCGGAGGCAGAGGTAGAGACTGGCCGAAAACCATAAGTTTTTGATTCAATTATCTTCGGTGCAGTCACCTTGCGTTCATTGTTGGCTGTCGGGCCCATTCAGGGCCCAGATTCGGTTTGTACATGTAGACCTCGTCGCCCGCTGTGCTCCATGCCCGCCCCTCTACAATTTACGGTTTATGAATGATGCTCTCCTCTCTTGCCTGATGCTGCTCGCATTTCCCCGCCTGAATACCCCGCGCATTGCTTCCTACACAATCTTGTGCCGACTTGGCTTTCGATATGTCTTTTTTCGAATCAAAGCGTTTCCGGTCCTTCAACTTTCCTAGGTCGTGTTGTGAAAACTACAGGGTGCGGGCTGTAGAGACACGAAGGAGCTCGGCCTACTTGGCTTGCCTACGGATCCCACGACTGCGGGTGACTGTGTGCGCATCGCCTGTGACCCGTTCGATGACTACAACTCAGGCACTCAGGCTTGGGGAAACACAGAGGCACCCAGGAACCAATGCCGTGGAACCAAGACCCAGGAGTCCAGGGACCAAGACCAAGGAACCCATGCAAGGCCTAAAGCACCAACACCAAGGAACCAGGGAACCAAGACCAAGGAGCCAAGGAGCCAAGGAGCCAATGAACCAAGGAACCAAGACCACGGCAAGCAACCAAGCAACCACGACCAACCCGGGCAAGGACATAAGACCGAGGAGCCCCAGGGAACCCCCGCGCGACGGCGTCCGCCACCCGCTCGCTTCTTCACAGACAATTGAAGGCCCTTAGGGCAAAGCTTAACTTGGGAAAAGCAATGTAAAGTGATCGCGGGGCGCTCGAACAGGATCTAGATATTGCCACAACGTAGTGCATGTTGTATTGTTTTGACAAGGATGGTGGGGGGGTGGCGGCATGGTCCATGGTGTGTCTCTGGTCGGTGTTTAGTAATTTGAGAGAAAGTTTCTTTGGACCCCACGTCATCCTGACCCCCGGCGCGCGAGGAAATGGCCCCGCCGACCGCTCCCCTGTTCCGTTTCCCGCGAGATTTGGGAAATCGGGCGAATCCAGCGACGAATTCCAAACCGGCGCCCTCGCGTGGGACATCCTCAGAAAAACCGGCCCCCAGAGCCTCCCCGAGGAGGCCTTCAGAGGCTCCCCTGTTCCGTTTCGGGCGAGATCCGGGAAATCGGGCGAATCCAGCGACGAATTCCAAACAAGCGCCGTCGCGTGGGACATCCTCAGATAAACCGACCCCCAGAGCTTCCTCATGGAGGCCCTCAGAGGCCCCCCTGTTCCGTTTACGGCGAGATTTGGGAAATCGGGCGAATCCGGTGCAAACCGGCGCTCTCGCGTGGGAGATCGTCAGAAAAACCGGCCCCCAGAGCTTTCCCAATGACGAGGCCTTCAGAGAGCTCCCTGTTCCGTTTCTGGCGAGATCCGGGAACTCCTGCGAATCCAGCGACGAATTCCAACCTGGCGCCCTCGCGTGGGACATCCTCAGACAATCCGCCCGCGTTTCTGGCGAGATTTGGGCAATCGGGCGAATCCGGCGACGAATTCCAACCCCTCGCGTGGGACATCCTCAGAAACACCGGCCCCCAGATCTTCCCCAAGGAGGCCCTCAGAGGCTTCCCTATTCCGTTTCCGGCGAGACTTGGGAAATCCGGCGAGATCATGGAATTTTGGTGAAGAATTGCAAACGCAGAGATTTGATTTCTATATGTACAGAAACTCCCGATCAACCGCAGAGCGGCCGGCTAGTTAGCAGCAGAGATCGGAGGTTGGGGGTGAGTTCGACGTGAAACGGAGACTCCCCCTACCGGGAAATCGATTTCGGTTTCGGCTTCGTGTCGTGCGTGCCGTGCGTGCGTGCGTGCGGGCGAGGCGAAGCTGCGTGGGCGGGCGAGAGGAAATCCTCCTGTGGCTGGGCCGCGGCCGGACCAAATGATTCTCCTCCGGCGGCTGGTGGCCCGCGGTGTCCCGCCTGTGTCCCGCTGGTGTCCCGAAATCCTCCTGTGGCCGGGCCGCGGCCGGACCAAAAGTCTCTCCACCCGGCAAACGGTGCCCCGCGGTGTCCCGCTAGTGTCCCGCTGGTGTCCCGCCGTGGCTGCGGCGAGCTATCAATGCAAGTCTACATGCAAACCGACATGCGAACCGAAAAGCACATCGAAATGCAAATCGACATGCACATCCAAATGTAAATCGTAAGATGCCGTGGGTTGCGTATTTGAAACATCGGCGCCTGCGGCGAGCTTTCCAATGCAAGTCGACATGCAAATCGAGATGCAGATCGAAAAGCAAATCGACATGCACATCGATATGTCGACATGCAAATCGAGATGCAGATCGAAAAGCAAATCGACATGCACATCGATATGCGCACCACAGGCATCGTCAGAACAACAGTCACCACTGTTGCCCATTGCTGCCCCCCCAACCTCCTTGTCACCCGCAGGGTGGTCGTCTGGGTATTGTTACCCCCTCCCCGAAGGGGAAGAAGGGGAGAAGACGGAAGAGTAAATGCTCAAGGCCACCTCAGCTCAGAGGCCTGGTGGGATTTCCTTTGGTATTCTACTCACGCTCGGCGCAGTGCAGCATTCTTGGAGAAATTGCCACGAAGCTTTTGCCTTGTGTAGGGCGCGTGACAAATGTCGCTCCTGTCTGATGAACCTACGCGCGCCATGAACAAATCCTCTTTCTCCTCCGCTCTCTGCCACCCCTCCCGGCTCACCGCTGGCGAGGCGTCTTTGGGCGTTTCTGCGGGGATCCCGAGTCTCGCGCCCCGCCCAGCCCCCTGAGCCGCTTTGCCTGTCCGATCCAGTCCAATCCTGGCTCGCCGTCGCGTCGATTGGCTCCTCCCCTTGGCGAGAGGAATCAAAGGACGGCGCATGTGGCGCCTGGCCTGTCACTTGCATCGTGTGCGGTACCCGAAGGTTGATCCAATACGTCCCGACGCTTTTCCTTTTGCTTAAGATGGAGACGCTGGAGCTCCCACCTGACTGTTGTCTCTTGTTTCCTGATCCCATGTTCTCATTTTGTATTGTTTCCCGTGGTTCTTCGTCTGATGCATCTCCAGGGCCTGGTACTGATGTGTATCAGGCTCTGCCTGCGTGGGGTCCTGCAAATGTTGCTCTGTCCTGTCCGTTTCTTGCCGGGAGGCTTGCTCCCACACCACCCTCGCTGCCCCTGCTCTTCGATTAACGCGGGGGGTAGCCGGGGGAAGTAAGATCAAGCCAAACCAACAGTGATTGACACATCTTTTTCTGGTGGGGATGTTGTTGTCCTCGAGGGGATACCATAATTTCTCTAACCCTTTCTGTAAGCATGGCTGGGTCGTATGAATAGGCTGCCCGTCGCGGATCTCAGATGGGGCGGGGGGTGGATCGCGTCAGGGGGCGTGTTCGGTGCGCGTCGCGGGGGGTAGACCAGAGCTGGCCGCCGTCTGTGGGGTGGCGTGGCGGAGATGTGACCGCTGAACAGCTCGGAGTGATCGCGAACAGTCCCCTCTTTGGTTCGGCCAGTGCCTCTTGTGGTCCAGTCCAGGAGAGGCCACGTGCGGGTCGTCTAGAGGACTTGGGCCTTCCGCCCTCCCCCTCCCGTTACGCTCGGAGCGGGGCGGAGGGGGGCGGCCTGGTTTCGTACGTGTGGTGGGCTCCAGAAGGGGCCTTGTCTTGTCGGACGGCCGCAGAAGGCTGGCGGAGGCTGGCGGGAGCAAGACGAGGGCGGAAGCGAAGGCAGTCCCCCAAGAGGTTCGGGCATTGCCAATGGTGTCTCTGGCCCGAGGTGTCCCTCACGAGGCCCAGAGGGCTCCAGGATGCCGGGAAAGTTTGGGGACGTCTTGGGCCCGGGCCACCTCTGGCTGCCCCCGAGATGTGCCAAAGGCTTCTGGAGCGGCGGGCCGCGTGGGCGCTCGCGGAAACTTCGGCCGATCTTCGTCGTCCTCGAAATGCTGGGGTCGGTGTTGGGGGGAAGAGGCGGGCTCGGCCTCGGCGACGGGAGCCCCCAGGAGGCCCCTACAGCAGGTGTCGGTTGGTCCTCTCTGGAGGAATGGCGTGGGCCGGTCCCACTGTTCTCGGACATTGTTTGGTCCCCCCGCGGCGCCTTTCGGTGCGTACTTTGCGCGGCGCTCGCGTTGAACGCGCAGTTTTTGCGGCGCCGACCGTGTGGGCAGGGTATCGCGCTGCAGGGGTCGTTCGGCCGTCCGCGCCAGGGCGCCCAACGCCGCAAAAGAAAATGCGCTGGAACGCAAACTCTGCCAGCCAGACGTTGAAGACCACCCAGACCTCCCGACGTATAATGCTGCTCTGTTGTGCTTCTATCTGTTTTCCTGTCTGGTTGAGCCCGCTCGGCTCCAGGGCAGGGAGCTTCCCGCCGTGGTTCTCTCCTCGTGGCCCCGGGGCCCGAAGCTGGCCTCCAGAGCCCGAAGGTCGGCAGAGCTGGCCGCCTGGAGGAGGAGGAGGAGGAGGAGGAGGAGGAGGGGGAGGAGGTGGGGGAGGGGGAGGAGAGGGAGGGGAGGAGGAGGAGGAGGAGGGGGGAGGAGGAGAGGGAGGAGGAGAAGGAGGAGGGAGGAGGAGGAGGAGGAGGAGGAGGCGGAGGAGGAGGAGGAGGAGGAGGAGGAGGAGGGGAGGAGGAGGAGACACCAGGACCAAGGCACGGGATTCCTAAGCACCCGACTCCCCGCTTTTCCCCTCTCAGGCTTGCCGGAAGGGGTCCTCTGATCTGCTTCTGAAGGCCCGGCGGGTGCGCGGCCTGCGGCGGCTGGCCTGCCTCGGATTGCCGGGTCGTGCCTCCTGACTGTTCTGAAGCGGCCTGCCTCGGGTTGCTCGGCCTCGTTTCCTCACCGCATTCCTGAGGTCGTTTGGTGTCGTTTCGCAGCAGTGCCAAGCAGCGCCCAGCAATGCCAGGCAGCGCCGAGGAGTTCCAAGCAACGCCAAGCGCTGCTGAGCAATGCCACGCAGTGCCAAGCGATGCCAAGCAACGCCCAGCACCGCCAAGCAATGTCAAGCAATGCCAACCAACGCCGAGCAACTCAAACCAGTGCTACGCAACGCCAAGCAATGCCAAGCAACGCCGAGCAACGTCAAGCGACGCCAAGCAGTGCCAAGCAATTGCAAACCCCGCCCAACAATGCCAAACAACGGCAAGCAATTCGAAGCAACGCCGAGCAATGCCACGCAACGCCCAACGCCAAGCAACGCCAAGCAACGTCAAGCAACGCCAAGCAATGCCAAGCAATGCCAAGCAGTGCCAAGCAACTCCAAACAACGCCAAGCAATGCCAAGCAATGGTAAGCAATGCCAAGCATTGGCAAGCAATGCCAAGCAACGCCAAGCAATGCCAAGCAACTCATTGCAGTGCCAAGCAAAGCACTGCAATGCCAGGAAATATTGCGTAAGAAATCGGGTCGCGCCGGGTTCATTTTCAATAGCCAGCCCCTGGACCTCTTGACACCGTCCTTGAGGTTAGCTTGCCGACCCTGCGGCCCTGAAAGCAGCCAGCTTGAACGCCGAGAATAGCGGATCCCCCCGGCTCGATCTGTTCGAGCCGTCGGAGGTTTGGGCAGGAGGAGGAGGAAGAGGAGGAGGATGATGATGATGAT